CAGACAGCATTACCGTTGCTGTTGTTGCCAATACAGTTGGTATTGTTTCACTGTCTCATGCTTTACCGCGTTCATTTGTTTGAAACAGCTTCAGTATGAACTGATTTTAGTTGCATCTCTTTCTAGCATTTTTTCCTGTTATTGTCGATCGCTGTTGCTCTTTTTCACCTATTTTTCTTTTTTCCTCTTAATTTTACTTTTATTTTTTTTTTTTATCAATTTTTATTTTTTCTAACTTTTATCAGCTATTCGGGCAAAGAGGAAGCCTTTCTTCTTAAACAATAGTTTTTTATCTTCTTCTATCCTAGTAACTGAGGAAAAAAAGCAATTTTTTACTGGTGTTGTGTTGACCACTTCATGTCAATAACTAACTGAAATTTTTCGTTTCTTTGTGTACTTGTTTTTCTTCAATTTGCATAAAAGCGCCTTCCGATTACATTATTTGGCGCTGTCGATGACGGTGTTGATGTTGCGTTATAGACTAAATCATAAAGAGGTACTTTCAGGCGACGTCTTCAGTGCATACCGCCCAAGCGGGAAGTGTTTGTTGTTGTTACTTCGGCTACTGTTCACTGACTGATAGTGTATAGTCTGAGTAATTGAAACAAGTAGTAAACTGTTGTTTTGCGGAAGCAATCGTAGGAAATTTACTTGTACTGAAGCGAAGCCATGAATCGTGTTCTACGTCCGATTCCACAAATTGGTACGATTTTTTTGAGCTCTTCTTGTCGCTGGATAGATGTGCTTTTTCTGTCTTTGTTAGAGGCCGTCTACCATATTAGTCGTTAATAATCGGAAATTTTGTTACCACTGCAGCGATTAGCAAGGTTTTCAAATGTGTTTTCAAACGATTTTTCAAAAAAGCTCCTGATGGATATCTTTCAGTTATCATATACCAAGCACGTAATTGTAGATCTTAAAATTTGATAATGACAAGGTATTGTTGCTGTTATTGCTGGTGATGATTTTCTTGAGAAAATATGTTTGAGTAAGAATACTCCTAAGTAATTTAACTGATAATCTACAGAAGCTTGTTTTTTTTGTCATTTAAATATTTGAATAGGACGTTATTTAAGAACGAAATTTTGAGATTTTCAAATATTTATTCGAGTGGCAGTTGGTAAGTTTGTACGAATATTTTTATTTTTTTAGTTAAAGAAGTATTCACTTAACAGTTAACAGTTATCATATTTCGTTGCGAAAAAAAAGTCTTACTTTTTTACAGTACTTTTAATTAGTTGTTGAATTTGAAATTTTGTGGATAGTGGGGCATCAGCTCTACTGCTGCAACTTTCCAGCTTTGGTCTTATTTATTTTCCTTGGTGCCTAACACTTATTATTACTCTGTGATAATGCTAAATTTATGTTTTAGTTTTGCCAATTATTGATCACCACTAAAACTTTAGACTTTCAGTGGTCAGAAGTATTTTGTTCCTCCATTGAACCGCATGAAAGTTTGTGTTATTCGCTTTAAGTTTTAGTGCTTTGCAGTTAGGAAGTTGAGGAAAAAAAAAGTGAAGAGGCCAGAGGATTTTCAAGATCGATAATGAAGGTTTCAAAATATAAACAAAAAGCTTCTTAATCATTTTGACCGTTTATCGGTTTTAGATAAAATTACGTATTTAAGACAAAAAAAAAAAAAAAAAAGAAAGAGGGGTAAGGGAACAAGCTGCAGTATTTCCACAAAGAAAAACTCTAGAATTTTATTTAGTTATATTCTACTTTTTCTGGCAGCCTACTGGAGGAGATGAATTTGCACATTCCACAATTTTTTTTTTTTAGAAACGGCACATTGCGGAGGAAAATTTATTTCTCCAGTCCTCGTCAATAAAATTGTCTCATTCATTTACGATTTGAGAAACATGAAGGGTTGAACCTTTTTAAGACTGCTCTGTCTCTATGAAGTTAAACTGATAAATTTGTAACTGCTGGGCAGGAATGCTTCTTGGTTAACTTCGATTTAATTAACATTCACATATTTTAAACTTGTTAATTCTTGCTAATCTTAATTGTAAAAACTGTAAAAATTGTTGGTTATTGGAAGCAAAAGACAGGCAAGAAGTTTAAAATTACAGTAGAGGCGTGCAAAAACAGTTCAATGATATAAGTTAGGATAAAGAAAGTACTTGCGTGCAGCTTTTTCACCGTTCACCAGGAGTTTTTTTGGCTTCTTTTACGGCACCTGAAGACAGATAAAAAATCAAAGTTCATAAATGAATTAAATAACTAGTGAGAAGTTGATGAAATCTTGTTTCACTCATCTTGGAGACTGTGTTGACAGGTTGTTAGAAAATACATTAATGGAGGTTCTTTTTAACTTAAAACTACCTATACATTAGTAAGTTACTAGAGTTTATTGGTCGCCTTTTAGTCAGAGATTTAAACCTTTTCCTGGTTATTGTAACACCTGTGGTGGAAAGTAGTTTAAAAAAAAATTGGCGGTATCAATTTAAAAGCTATAATAGTGAAAAGTCATGATTGAAGTTTTTATATTTACGACCTGACTTACTGATTAATTACAGTGATGTTGACTTGAAACTTGTCGCTTCATTATCAGTTTGGTAGCAGAAATCATTGTATCAGTCAATTATAGGTCATTTTGAAATATGCTTCCAATTTGGCAAACGTGATTTATTCTTGTAGCTTTAGTGTAGCAGCAATCAAATGAGCAAATTACAGTTGACGGGCAAATGGTGTTGTCAAATTCAATTGATATTTTTCACTAGCAGTAATAGATTTGGGGTGGGAAATATATCGTGGATATTAATACAGTGAAACCCATTGCTGTAATAGTTTTTTTTATGTTTTATCAACCAACAATCTGCTGCATCTTGATGCATTAACGGAGCCGTTTTTTTTTGTTGTCAGAACGATGTGTTCGTATGGTACAAACTTTGGCTACCAGGGAGCCGTCTGGACCTAATGTTACCACTCCGATTCCTGGACCACAAAGTCTAGCGCTAAAGAAGAAAATGGATCCTCTCCATGTAAACAGTTTTTTCTTTGGTCCTTTGTTACCTGAGGATTTAACGCTTGCGCAACAGTGTATTCTGCTGACGGGTCAGAAGGAATTTTCTTGTTATAAGGGATTGACCCACTAGTTGATCATATTGAAACCATTCAGAAGTTAATTAGTGAAAACCGTTAAGAGTTCGTATTGTTACTGGTGTGTTAAGCACTGATTTGTTAGGTGATTGAAAACTGTTTTGGTAACGGTTAACTTTTGTGTTAAGGTGATCAAATGTTTATTTTGATGTCTATTTAGCAAGCAACATCTGTAAAATTCTTTGCCAACTATGAGAAATCCATCGGTAACTATTTGGTCGATGCGGACAACAACTGTCTTTTGGACATGTTTATGCAGATATCATCGCTCTCACTAGGTACTTCTAAATTGTCTAAAACTCCTTTTCTTTCGTCACTGGTAAGAATAGTGAGCGATTAGTTCGGCTTTTGTGTTCTTTATGCGCTTGATTATGCAGCTTTTTGCAGCGTGATACTGTATTTACAGGTTACAATCACCCTGACTTAGTAGCTCTGTTGGCCACTCCGCGATTTATTGTTAGGTTTTTATGTTTAGATAGGCTTACTTATTATAAATTGTTTGAGAGGAATGAAATGAAATCCCTGAAATATCCCTATGGTTACTTTTCAGTCCGCCACCTGCAGTCGACCAGCTTTAGGCTCGTTTCCAAGGCATGACTATCCAAATACCTTGAAAAACGCACTAATTTCTGTAAGCTGTTTTGTTTTGACACGAAAAATCTGGATTCCCAATTTTTAAATCAGCACTTTAATTTGTGAAAATTAAGGTAGCGCCAAAAGGTTTCTCTTCGGTGCAGACAATGCTTTGCGGCTCCTCAGCAAACGAGAATGCCATCAAAACAGCATTTATTTGGTATCAGTCACAAAAGAGAGGTGGACCACCTACAGAGGAGGACTTAAAGTCATGCATGACTCAAAGTCTTCCAGGCACTCCAAACATATCCATTTTGTCGTTCCAAGGAGGCTTCCATGGGCGTACCTTAGGTAACAACTATTAATTCTTTTTTGGTTCTACTAGTATATTTGAAAAAACTTTGGGGGTAATATTCCGCCTCGTGATGGCTGCAATAAGCGAGTATGGTTGGATCTCTAAATTATGATTTTTTTGAAGGTAGTTTGGTGCAGAAAAGCCATGACATTTTTTTTAATGGAAGATACTGTTGTGCCTTTTAGCTATGCTTTCTGTCACCAGATCGAAGCCAATCCACAAAGTTGATATTCCCGCGTTTGACTGGCCTGTCGCAAAGTTTCCGCGATACAAATACCCGCTGGAAGAAAACGTTAAATACAATCTTCAGCAGGACAAGGAATGTCTTGCAAATGTAAGTTTCAACTTGTTGACAAATGCTTATATGGTTGTGATATTCTACTGTAGACAATGTTAAGGTGGAAGAGCTGATTGTGGAGCGTAAGAAGTCTGGCCGTGACGTCGCTGCCGTGCTTGTTGAGCCAATTCAGAGTGAAGGTGGTGATCATCACGGTTCTCCAAATTTCTTCCGTGGCATACGTGAAATAACCAAAAAACATGGAGTGGTGTTCATCGTCGACGAGGTACTGGCAGCACGGACACTTGTCCAATGAATACAATGCTAAGCCAACTGTACACTGTAACAACAACTGCACATTGCAGGTTCAAACGGGTGGTGGTGGAACTGGCAGTTTTTGGGCTCACGACTCATGGGACTTAGACACTCCACCTGATATAGTCACATTTTCAAAGAAGATGATGGTCGGTGGCTACTACTACGCTGATCACCTGAAGATTAAAGAGGTATGGGCTTGCGTCTAGATCGATTTTAGTGGACACGCGAAATTACATTGTACCAGGATGTAGGCATACCGTATTTACAATACATGGATGGGCGACCCAACGAAACTGATGCTTTTGGAGAAAGCCATAGAGGTCATTAAAAGGGACAACCTGATCGAGAACGTTTCTAATTTGGGGACCATGTTCCAGAAGGGACTGAGAGAACTGCAGGTAATTAATTCTGCTATCTGTACGGCAGCACGCGAGTAATATCCACTTTTCAGCGCACGTATTCGTCGAAGATGTTAAATGTCCGAGGTCTTGCCCTGTTCAGTGCCTTCGACTTAACCACAGCTAAATTACGAGACCAGCTTCTCGAGAAATGCCTAGCAAACGGTACTTCCTTGAATTAACTGCCCATATTCTATGTTTGATAACTTTCCTTGCAGGGTTGCATGCGGGTGGGTGCGGAGAGGCCGCTGTGCGGTTCAGGCCAGCGCTGATATTCAGCAATGAACACGCAGAAATAGCCCTAGATACGTTGAATAAATCGCTAAAGATGATTTAATATAAATATTTGCTATAAAACCATCTCTCTTGTTCAGTCACACATTATCATCATAATTATCTAAAAGACTATTAAACAAATATCAATAGCAAAGGCATACAACAACACATCTACCCTTATACTAGAGTAGTGTACCCCGCCATGCGGACTCAGACCCGCTATTTCCAGCAGCTAAAAAATAACCTATACAAAACAACAAGAACTTGCACACTGCTGTCGCTGCAGGGTAAACAACTACAGCACAAAAGCATAATGAATATACATTGCCAGGGGATGCATAACGCTCCTTGGTAACTAGTAAGCCCACCCTCTGCTTTATACTACAACAAGTAACAAGTAACAATATCAACTCACTACCCCTGACAACAGGAAGAACACTCGTTATTATACTGTCCTTTCAACTCTGCAAGTATGCAGAAAGGTGAGTTCGGGATTGCTCGCTTATACATGCTACCGACTCTGGACAGACGGAAGAAGCATGCATCATCACAGCTTGGGCAAGAAATGCTGGAATAAACAGAATTTACGGCTGTTGTATGCACATTACAGTCGAAAAACTTGCTTTAACAAACCTTTAAAATTGGTAACTTCTGGAGCAACTGTCTCAGTGTGTTGAGCATACGTAAGCTTGCAGAATGGATCGTTATACTCGACTTCTACTTCAGCATACGCCCCAACAGGCTCCTCATCTTCTTTTATAGCTGAAGGACCAAAACCACTGGCTTCAACTAGCCCAACAGTGGCTTCAACAAGCTGTCCATACAAGTTACTAAAACTGATAAAAATAACAAGAAACAAATCCAATACTATGCTAACTTTTGACATGGCACTTTAAATCCACAACCATCCTTTCAAAGCAGAAACCTGAGGCTCTGTATCGTTTCTGAGATCAGTTTTGCAATTCCAATGCAACATATCCGCTTCTCATCATAAGTAGTCGTCATGTGCATATTTTTCAATTCGGCAATCAGTATCTTCTCTACAACCATGTGGAACATACCAGACTGAAGCGATTCCAATGCCTGAAGAATTTGTTTCAAAAAAAAATACTCTAGCTTAAACCGTTATTGCACTCCGTAATTAATTGAACGCAATCACTGCGAACGTGAATTACAAAAAAATTCACTTGTAAAAAGGCAGTAGCTCCCCGAACAATCACAAAACGACAAATAAATACAACAAACTGCTTCATGAATTTTACGGTTTTTGAGAATTGGACTCGACGAAACATTGGAGTCAACAACAAGCCTTCAGTCATAGCAGGATCCTTCTAAAAATGACGCAGAAATCATACTTTGGAAATAACTTGGCACAAAAATTACTAAAGCACTAAAACTATTACATTTAAAAAATTCAAAAGGATATTTGCAAGTTTGAATCCATGTTGATCCTGAGCTTTAGAACTAATCAACCGCGTTAATATAGCCATCAGTTTCTGTGCATGATTACCAATTAGATGGTCAGGACGACAACGCAGAAATGACTCAATAACCTAAACAAGTTCCTTAGAAGACGAGAGAAGAAAACAGAGTACGAGTATGTTTTCTTTTATAAAAATATAAATCGAGCTCAAGAGCTGTTACCAGGATACCAGCAGGAACATTGGAAACATTTTGCCAAAGATTATCTCCCATTAAAAAAGGCAAAAACGAAAGATAACTGTCAAGCGCCGCTGACTTTTGATCGGTTGCTTTATCGAGAAGTAAAGCTAGAATGTAACTCTTTGTTAAAAAACAAACAGTAAGAAGTAAAAAGTATCTTCATTCAATCAAAAAAAAATTTACCTGTGATTTGCAGGGCATAAGGAATATAGTCAACAACTTCACTAGAAAATATACTTTCAATAACAGGGATAACGTATTGGTCAATTCCACCCTCAACTGCTGAGTAAGCCTGCAAGCACTTATTACGAAACTCCAATCGCACCATAATATTTTGACTAAAATTGGAACCCCAATGAACAACAACAAAGAACCATGTGTCCTATAGAACTGGTTCTACCTGGCGAATAATTATACACAGAGATTCGAACATAAAATGTAGATGAAGAGAGTCGACGGGGCTCTTCACAGCAGTGCCAATCATGATTGCAAGTTTATTCACAATTTCTCCAGACTTCTTAGCTGTTTCTCCCTTAAAATACTTGGTGAAATCAGAATCTAATATGGAAATTAAAGAAACCAACAGTGCATCTTAAGATTAGTAAAACATTATTTTGAAAAGGAAACATACGTCCATAATATTAAGACATCTCATCACAGCTTTCATTACGTAATGGGAAGTTTGTGCTTGAGGTGAGCGATCAAATGTGCCAAACAATGCAGCAATCATTGGACCTACTTGAGTATTTTCACGAGAAATTACAGGCTAAAACGAGTTTTTATGAAAAGTATATTTTAATGAAGAGTATACGTAATGAAAAGAGCAATAATGCGTAAGTAACATAGAGCCAAAAATCACCTTATTTGTCCCCTTACACTTCACTAACATTATTCGTTCAAGTGCATAACTAGAGTATAAATAAAGTATAGTATGCTTCGAACTGAACAAACGAAGAAGGATCCCAAGACTTTCCACAAGTTGTTCGGGTTGTAACTGGTTACGAAAAGTGACCAAATATTTTATGGCATCAGTACGAAGGATGGGAAAATTATCGACATCCTCGGCAAAAAGATCACCGTGTACATGCTGATTGTAAAAATCTACTACGTTAATCTGAAAAGCTTTCACTTTATCATAACAAAGGAAGAATCCTTTCCCGAGTCGACGTATATCCCACTGTGGCAAAAAATGAATTAAAAAACTCGGAGGCTTTCGGCTGAAAACAAATATTTAATACCACTTACCACGTTACATTACACTATAATCATAGGAACAATAGCGCCATTGAGAAACTGTAACCACTCACAAAGAAAACAGGAATAGTTAAAACTGAAAAAAATGATTTTTTAAAATACAGAACTGCTCACCAACTCACTAGTGCTCGTTGCTCCAAACCTCAACGTTTCTGACTTTGAAGCCATCGCAGTTACAAGGCAATATATAACATCCTTTTTCAGCCAATTTGCGTGTAAATTTAAAGCACACTCATTCAGATATAAAGATATCACGGTAGACAGTATCGCTGTGACTTGAGACTCAAACCTCCGGCAGAGTGCACGGACAAAATCTCCTGCACCTCGCCGACGCGTACCAATATCTGATCCTAAAGTGATACAGCTCGTTTGGTTTGAGGCTAATAACTTCTTATAACAAAGCAAGGCAGCCAAAAAATCGTCATCAAAAACAGAAATGAGAAATAATTTCTAGAAAATTAACTGCAAAGAGTAAACCTTCAATATCTCTTTTAATGTATTCTAAAGGTTCCTCGTCAAATAATTCAATATCGCACTCTCGCAACATTAAGTTTTTAATTATGACATCTTCGCACAAAGTTTTCAGTACCCCTTCTACCTCAAACATAGAAGAGTACTGGGGGCGCATACATATGGCGGAGAGGAAACCAAGAGCAGCGTCAACCACAGTATCAAATCTGAAGATAATGGATGTTACGAAATATTTAATGCAGAATAAGCTTTTACAAGCTTGAAAGAAATTATTCCTCCGCCTTTCTAATTTACAAGAATCGACCCTACTCGGTAAACCAGCACCGCTTGACACCAAACCATCCATTTATCAAAGTTTCAATTTCTGACAAACACAAATTTTGAGAGCAAATTAAGAAATTATCCACTAAGACCTACAGAGTGTGACAATGTTGCTGCAACAGCTCCAAGTACAAAAGAAATTGGCGAGTACTCAGAGGCACAGCCTACAGTTGTAGACCGCTCAAAAATCAAACTGAATTAAAAAAAAAAAAACAAATAAATCCCTCGTTAGCAAGCAGCAAGGAGCAACCAAGAGCAATGTAGCCGCGTACCAAAAAACAAAAACCTATATTACGCAAGAGAAATGACGAGTATTTTTTTGTCACAGATGCGGTAAAGCAAGAGAAGCACACAAAATCCAGCCCCGTACCTAAGGAGGGCCACCATGAACCCTACAACCTTCTCATCGCTAAACAAAGCAGTATTTTGAAAAACCCAACAGAATAGCAAAAATACCATCATTTAACAAATGGTAATTTATACGATTAGGTCGGAAGCTTCTTACCTTACTCTGAAGTCCATTTCAACCAACAATTGCCAAATGTGCTCAGTGATACTCTGCATAAAAGGTGCAACTTCCTCCTCATACCTCTGAATAAAAACTCAAATATTTAAACGGGCACTTTCTATAGACCATAACCTGCAACTACGCCTCTTACCTGTGAGTAAAGTGTGAGGACTTCGCACACAGCACATTTCACCTTGTCAAGTACAGTAGGTTCATATCCTGTGTGAACCTCGTCTATAGAAGGAACTTTTAGATTAAGAAGAGCTAAGCAACCATTTATCATAGTACTTATATTGTCCTAAAACAAAAAAAACATTTGCAGTCATAAAACAATTAAGATGACAAGAAAAAATACTATTTAGCTTCCGACTTTAAAATCAAGGCTCGTGAAAATAACAACCTGACAACAACAGCTAAACTATAAACTTATTTTTGCCATTCTGTTTAAGTGTACACATTTTAACCACACATTTATAACGTGATACCCCTCCCCCCCCCACCTTCCACTCACAAAACTCCTGGCTACGTCTTCAGTTAAAACAACAAAAGATGAAAGAAACAAAAAGAATACTTCAAAAAATTCTGGGAGATCTTGAACACTTAAGGAATGAAATACTTCAACAAGCAGGAGAAGTATTTCAAGCCAAACTTCTGCGTCTCCAGCTGCCACTGTATCCTTTTGCGGAATCTGTTGCAACATTTTTGTAAACAATGCTGTTATTGGGGCTGCTGCCTAAATTTGCTGTCATTAAGTAATAACAAAATTTCCAAGTTACTAAAGACCACCCCCATCCTGTTCTATCTTCAAAACAATAAAAGTACCGAGCATGCAAAAAAAAAAAAAGTGTTGAAGTGTTGTTGATCCAGTAGTTTAAAAAGCATCTAGAGAATTTTTTATATCCAAAACCTAAAAGCGACAACCAATTACGTAATATTAGTAAAAAAAAAAAAAAAAAAAAAAAAAAAAAAAA